AGTATTTTTGGCGAGGAGCTAAGACAGGGGTGTGCCCAGGTAGCATAGCTGTTCAGAGGGGAGGTTCTCTGCTGGAACTCAAGGAGGCTGCCAATGTGATGTGCTGTCTGGACTGAATACTGAAGAGAAGGAGACATCATTAGGAGATGCGCAGGGCATTCCAGGCAAAGAACAGCAGAAACAGAGGAACACTGGAGTCAAGCTACTTATGTACAAATGGGGAACTATGAACAGTTCAGTGCTGCTAAAGGTGTGAAAAGGAAAGGACAGGAGATGACAGACAGAGGCCAAGCCACAAAGGCCTTCATAGCCCTGCTGAGCAGAATAAATTTCACCCTGAAGGTGAAGGAGATCCACCAAAGGGTCCTAGACAGGAACATGCAATGGTCACATTTGTGTTCGATACGTGTTGAGAAAGGATTTAGTAAAGTATCAGTTAGGATTTGGTACTGTTGCATGTAATAGTGGCTTAAGCCAATAGGGGTTTGTTTTCTCACATGACAAGAAGTCTGGAGGTAGGCTATTACTTAGTGGCTCAGACACTCATCTCCTTTCTGGTTTTTTTTGTTTTTTTTTTATTTTGCTTTGCCATGCTTTTGTTCTCACAGTTGTCACCTCACTGTCAGAAGGTGGCTGTCCGAGCTCAAAGCATCATATCCATGTTTAAGGTAGCAAGGATAGGGAATGATGCAATGATTCCCTTTAATCACCAATGTCAAAGCGCTCCCAGAAACCACCAGCTTTTTAGCAGACTAATGGCGGTTAGGTGAGGACTATTTTAGAGATGGCCATCTCTAGCTGCAAAAGAAGCTGAGAAAGCAATCATCTTTCCTCTAAAGCAGATTTGTGCAAGGTAGAAGGTTGGGAATAAGTGTTAACTAGGTTAGCAATAAAGAAGTAGAGGATCTTGTTGCCATTAAATGAAACTGAAAACTCAAAATTCTGAGTAGTGGATCTAGTTCTTCTGGATGTGGATTTGTGGTGTCATCCCAAAGGGATGTTCAGTAGGGAGTTGGATATAAATTAAAAAACTCAAGTGAAGGCTTAGAGCTTGCAACACAATTAGAGAATTTCTGAGAAGTACGTGATTTTTCATCCGCCTAACCTATCTTCAGTTTAGCCTGAGTCTATGGAGATGTGCTAATTGGTACAACTATTTTATCTGCATGCTCACACACCTACCACTTAAAGGATAGTAAATGTATTCAAAGAATTACTGTGTGCAACAAGAAGCAGGACACTTCCTGCCAAGCACATCTCCAATACAAACATGGACACACACCAGTTAGTGCTATACGGAGAACTTGCTCTTGAATACCAACATCTATTTGTCACACTGTGGAGCAAATGTATTTTCATGTTTTTGATTAAAATAACAAGAACTATCATCATTCTGGAAGTCTTGATATTTATTACAGAAATATAACCACACGAAGAATACAATTGTGAAGAGTCTTGCTGAGGTCCACTGGCAAGGCGTCTGGAACCATCCTTGGTTTGGAATAAAAATTCTGCATCTAAATAATCTTACCTCTCAAGCAGTGCTCAGATCTGTGAAGATCCAATCCAAGAGGGCTAAAAAATTCTACAGAAAAAGTCCTCTCTAACCTCCAGCCTGAAAGGGGCCTCTGCCTCTTTAGCCAGTCTGGACAGTCATGGAAATTCTGCTCTGGAACTGTGGATACAAGACAAGTATTTCTTCAGTATTTACTTTGACCAGTGAAATAGCTATGACAAATTTTTTCTTTTCCCCAAGACACAAAGTGACATTTTAAAGGAGAAACCACTCTTTTGGTGCCAGAGTGTTTTAAAAATAATATTAGAATAAGAGCTCAAAGGAATGTCTGCTCAAGCACAGATATCCAAGACATATTTTAAGGAGAATTTGGCCACTTTATACAGTCAGGGAGTCAGGACTGCTCATTTCAGCCTCTTCCCTATTGGATCTACCTCTTTGTACTCAGCATCAGGTTCAAAACTTGTAACATCCTCTTGGTTCAAAGGCATTTTTTTTTTTTTTTGGCCTGTTTTGCTGCTAAATCTATGCTATATTGCAGCACTGCTTCTTTTTTATATATATTTAAACTTTGTTTTCCTGGATTATGAGTTCCTTAAGGTCAGGGGTCACATCTTGTACTCTGTTATTTCTTACAGTTATGTTTGTCATGGTAAACTTGCAGGAAATAGTGATTGAATGGATGAATGAGTGAAAGAATGACAAAAACTGGACAGCATTGGTAGGTGAGTTGCTAGGCAGTCTAGTAAAGAGGATTAGAAAATTCAGGTCAGGTTGGGGGAAAGGTGGTACAGGGGAAAGAATATTTTACTAAGCCAGCAGACATGGATCCCAGCCTCAGGCTGGCGGGCTTGCCTTCATTCATTCAACAAACATTTGTTTAAGCTTCTTCCAATGAGCTCAGCAAGCATTGTGGCAGGCCACGAATAAGACAAAGTCCCTGCCCCCAAAATGTGGTGGTGGTGGTGGTGGTAGTGAGGGGGACATATGATGATCAAGGATTATAGAGATATGTGTGATTGAAGATATGATAATGGCCAGCACAGGGCACATGGAACAAGAAGAAGGGGCTTCTAAATCGGACAGTGGTTTCTGATGGGGAACGATTTTGATTCAAGTCTTGAAGGATGAGTGAGTGTTGGCTACATGAGATTGATTAAGAAAAGCATCATAGATTGATTAAGAAAAGCATCCTCATGTGTGTGAAGATGTTCCAAACCATAACACAAGAGGTTGATTGAGAACTAAAGTCTCAGCTGAAAGTGTGGCTGTGGCCAAAGTTAAAATTAGAGAGGCTAGAGCTACCTTGCAAAAGGCAATATGAAATAGTGCTTAAGAGCAGAGGTTTAGAAATCATACAGAACTGAATTCAGATCTCAGCTCTGGTACTTACCAGCCATATAACAATAAGTGACATTTTTTTTTAACCACTTTAAGTTTTAGTTATCTTAGCATAGTGTCTAACTGTAGCACTTAGCTATTGCTGCATAATAAGTTATCCCAAACCATAAGTTTGAAACAATACGCATTTATTAAATTCTTGCAGTTTCTGTGGGTCTGGAATCTGTGCCCTGCTTAGTGGGGTCCTCTGCTTCAGAGTCTCCCATAAGGTTACAATCAAAGTGTCAGCCAGAGCTAAAGTGTCATCTCGAGACATGACTGGGGAAGGATCTACTTCTAAGCTCATTTACATGGTCGTTGGCAAAATCAGTGCCTTACTGGCTATTGGCTGCCTGAATTCCTTGCCATGTTGGCTTATGCAACATAATAGCTTCCTTCATTGAAGCCAGTGAGGGTCTGTTAGCAAGACAGATGTAGCCTAATCACTGAAGTGACTTCTCATCACTACTGCCAAATTGTATGGGTTAGAAGTCACTAGGCCAGCTCATGCTCCAGGGGAGGGGCTTATACAAGGCGATGAACACTGGAAAATGAGGATCATTGGGGCTATCTTAGGGTCTGCCTGACCCACTAGCCTATAGCTTATTACCACTAAATAAATGTTAGCTATTATTATTATGTTCCACTGAGAGAGTTAGAAAAGCTAGAGAGCCAGTGAAAGATTTCATATTAAGGAGTAACTTTAGGTGACCATGGGCAAGTCAAGCCACCTCATGTCTTTGAGCCTTCATTTCCTCAATACAATGAAAATATATATCCCCTGAAGAAACGAGAACATATATATGCAAGCAGATATACATTTTGTAACACCAAAAATATACAACTCTCCACAGTCTGAGGAAGCAAACTGCTTTGGGCCAATTTTCCATTTTATGTTGATTCTGTGAGTCTCACAGTCTGATATCTTCAACGTTTTTAGGGCTTGGCCCAATGGGCTCAAGAGGATTTGTGCAACTGGAATAAATATCCACAAAAAGAAATCTATCTTTTGAGCGTCCCTAAGGCAATTCCAAAAGTTTGCTTTTTTCCTTCTTTTTAAATACCTTTGCTTCCAAGGACCCCATGTGGGGCTGGAGAGAGAAAACAGACTATCTGGGAAACTTCAAGCTCTTGATAATAAAAGTGGTAATAAAATCTCGTTTGGCTCTTGATGCTTCTCAGAGGGAATGATTACGGTGGATGGGGTTCCCCCACACCCGCATAGCTGGTTTGTGCGGTTTCCAGTCCTGCGAAGCAGCTCAAGTTGCACCTCCATGACCACTGGCAAGGGCCGCTCCGAAGCCTGTAGGCAGTGGGTGAGAGACCCCAGGTCTTCCCCACTCTGGCGCCTCGCCCATGTCTGCGTAGGGCCCAAATGGGATACCTCACCCCACATCCCTAAAGGAGCTGATCACGAACAGTCGGTTTTCATGTTCTTCCTGGGTGCGGTTTTCCCCGGGGAAGGTAAACAGCGCTGTCGACCCGGACTGGTGAGCATTTCGGCAGGGTGGCCCAGTCATCCTGGAGGGGAACGGAACGTACGAGTCAGCCCCTCTGGCTTCGTACAAAGACGCACTTCTCGGCAGGGCTTCTCTGGGTGGAGCAAAGCGGTCGAGGAGGGTGCGACTGCGACAATGTCCCTTTGCTTCTGGGTTCGAGGGCCCGGCCTGGAGGACAAGGGGTTCCCAGGATCCCAGAGCAGGGCGCAAACCGTAACACCCTCGCCCTGCCAGCCTGGCCCCCGCAGCGCTGTCTTCGGGCCTCGAGGGCCATTTGGTCCCGGGGGGCGGGGAGGGCTCGCGGGGCAGCCCAGACAGGAGAGCGGGAGTGACCCCGGGAGGTCTCGGGGAGCGGAGGCGGAAGAGACGGAGCAGCTTCGGGCAGCCTGGCCGGGGGCTTTTACCTCGCCAGGGGTAAAAGCCGGGCCGCTTCCCTGACCGCTGCCTTAGAAAACTTTTAACGAGAACCAGATGTGGCAGCCGCTGTCGAACTTTCTCAGAGCCGGTGATTGGTCCCCGGCCGAGGGCTGCAGCCAGTCAGCGCGCTGGGAGGGCCCGGAGGCCCGCCCCACCCGGGCGCCCGCGGGGATCCAGGTTAGAGGCTGGCGCGGCGCCGCTAGTGGACTGGCGGGCCAGGCCGGGACACGCTGCGCGGCGGGGCAGCCCAGGGGCCGAGCGAGCATGCGGGGAGACCAGGCGGCTAGATGGCCGGCGCTGTCGTCGCCGCCGCCGCCGTTACTACTGCTGCTGCTGCTGGTGCTGTCCAGAGCCACGGCGCTCCATCCAGGCGAGCTCTTCCCCTACGGGCAGTCGCGAGGGGACCAGCTGCTGCAGGAAGGCGACGACGAAAGCTCAGCCGCGGTGAAGCTGGCGAGTCCCCTGCGCTTTTACGAAGCCCAGTTCAGCTACCTCTACGTAAGTTCGGCCTCCTCTGGGTGCGGGAGTTCGGCAGATTTCTCGCAGCTTTTTCCTAGGTGCAGTGTGGCTCTCACCAAACCCCTGTCCTCGGATGGGAGTAAATAGCCCGCACGCCCCGCTGTCCCGGAGCGACCCTGGGGGTGGGACCTGGCTTTGCAGCAGTGCTGCTGCCAGAACCCGCTGCTTTTCCTTGCCTCGAGGGAGAGAGCAAGAACTGTTTGCGGCCATATAAGTGTCTCAGTCAGAGAAGAAGGTGCTAGGGAGGCCAGAGGATGTTCCAGTTAGGACAGCGAGAAGATTGTGCATGTCTGAAAAGCTGGGGTGCCCCCTCTTCGGACCTGGAGGTTTTTTCCAGGGTTGTGCGGGAAGTGAGAAGATAAGCAAACGAGTTTTAGGGCTCCCGGACCTATTACATCACGCTGTAGGGTAGGAAGGAGTGGTGGGTTGGACGCCGGCTGAAGTTGTGCTGGTGTCCCTGAACCAGGCGGGAGTCGTCCTCCCAGCCGATGGGGAAGCGGGAGCATTTCATGCCCAGGGCGGTTCCCTTCCCTCCATGAGGAGCAGGGTGGGCGCGCAAGTCTGGACCTATGGTGGCCGCCCTTGGGCTTCCTGCGGAGTAAGCGACCGTCACCTTTTATTCCCCTCCTCTCCCAGGTGGGCACCAATGGCATCATCTCCACCCAGGACTTCCCCAGGGAGACCCAGTATGTGGACGATGGTTTCCCCACGGACTTCCCGGCCATTGCTCCCTTTCTAGCCGACATCGACACCAGCCAGGGCAGGGGCCGGGTCCTGTACCGCGAGGACACGTCTCGGGAGGTGCTGGGCCTGGCGGCCCGCTACATGCGCGCAGGCTTTCCGCACACGGCAGCGCACTTCACCCCTACCCACGCCTTCGTGGCCACGTGGGAACAGGTGGGCGCATACCAGGAGGCCACGCGTGGAACGCGGCCCTTGGGAGAGGTAAGTGACAAGAGATGCTTGGCCGCTGAGCCAGTTGAGGAATGGGCTTGAATTCTAGGCTGGAACCCAGGCTTGGAATTTTTTTTGAATCTACTCTTCGCGCTGATCCTGATGTATCGTTTGGTGGCACCCGAGCTGAAGTGGCTTGGAAATGAAGTCTCTGAACCTTCCACTGAGGATCTGAGAGGTGGTCATTTCTAGCAAGGAAAAATGCCCTGGGGTAAGAGGGCTCCCCTGCGGATTCGGAAGGCCCTCAGAACACAAGGCAGTTTACTATTTGGTTGTTTATTTTTAGAATCACCTCTAAATATTCAGGAATTATTTCTAATTATATGTTCATTGAAAGAAAAACATAAACAAATACAGGCAATTTAAAAAAGAACAACCACTCATTTTCCTACCGCTCAAAGATAATCACTGTTAAACATTTTCCAGTGTATTTCAGAGGTTTTTTCCCTATCAATATCTGTATTTGACACTGTCTACTAACAACGATGAGTTCACACTGAACATACTGTTTTTAGCTTACTTTTCCTCCTACTAATAGTATATCATGAATATGTTTCAATGTCAGTTAGTCTATTTCTGTAACTTGCTTTATAATGTCTGCATTATGTTCCATCCAGTGGATTTATAAGTGTGCCCAGTGGTCATTAAGTTATTTCCAATTTTTCATCATTATAAATTTGTGAATCATTTTTTTTTTTAGCTAAATCTTTGTGCACATCCTTAGCTGACATTCTAGGATGTAAAATTGGTGGACCAGAGATCATGTGCTTTTTGTAAGGTTTTTGATAGCTTTTGCCAACTTGCCCTCCAGGTACCAGTTGATGTACCCCCTAATTTGAAGGAGACTGTCTTTGATTTGTTTTACAGTCTCTACCTGAGAAAGTAAAATAACCCAGGCTCCAAGTCTTTAGGCTTGGCAGCAATGTTTAAAGTACTCCAGATGGACATCAGGTAGGGGCCAGGGTGGTTTGGCAAATGGTGAGCTGCCTCATTCCTGGAGAAGGTAAGGGCTTCCTCCTATGAAATTGACCTGAATCTAAAGTGCCATACTCCAAGGGTTGAAACTCTTACAATTTATTTCTATTTTAACTCATCAGTGTTTCTTATCCAAAGATAGCACATCTCTCTCCTGAGAGATTAAGTAGCTTGCCCTCGCTCACTGAGTAGTTCAAGATGGTGGCCATTTCTGTTTTGTATTTTGTAAGAGAAATATTTCCCAAAGGCTGTACTAAGCAAAGAAGATCTAGAAATAAAAACTGTTTGAATTTATGATTTTTTGCCATTTAGTTTTTGTCAGGCAACATCTAGTTTTATTTATTAATTTTTTTAAATACATGGTTTGACATTTTAATTATTCAATTCAACAGAATACATTCAATGCAAACACATATATTGAATACCTCTTTTGTGCAGAGCATTGGGCTAGGTGGAGCGTTTCAGAAAGCTGAATAAGGTGAGGCTCCCACCGTTATGTTGCATTCATTCATTCATTCATTCTTGCTTTTAGGTTTAGAAAAAAACACTTCACATTAAGTATAACATACCTATAATAAAAAATTTAGAAAATAAAGTAAACATTATTTATAATTTCACTAGCCAGAGGTCACCACTGCTAATACTTTTGTATTTTCTTCCAGTCTTTTTTCTAAACATATATCTTATATGTGGCATATTCATATATGTGTGTGTGAGTAATTTACATTTAAACATAGTTGAGATTTATTCATCCAACAAGCTTTTTTTGCACACTTACTCTATGTCAGTCAGGACATATAGATACCATGAAAGGATCTTTGCTCCCAAAGATCTCATAGTTTAGTAGGGACATTGATTATTGTTCACTATGATACTGTGTAGTAGCATCTTTACTTATGGAGACTAACTCTACACTTCTCTGGTTAAACCTTGATCTGGGAAGGTTTCAGTGAGGAAGTAGCTTTGAATCTGAGTTGAACAGAGTAGAACATTTCCAATAGAAGAAATACCATATGACATACCACCCATGTGCTGTAAAGTTGAATGTGTTTGGGGCATCACATATGGTACATTATTACTGAAGAGAAAGGGTAGTGGGACAGGAAGCTGGAAAGGCCATGGGACGGGGACAGATCACGTGATGCTGGGAGTTTGGATTTGGTTCTTTGGCAGTGGGCATCCTTTGAAGGATTTTATGCAGGGGATTGATATTTTTTGTTAAGAGAGCTCTTTCTGACTGCAGGGAGGAGGTAATGGCACAAAAGAAATATTAACTACTTAGATACTTATATAGGTTGTTTATTCAAGATATCTTGTTAATTCTGATAACAACATTTTAGCATACTGTCTTTCCACAACAATCTTGCAAGATAAGTACAAGACTTACTGTTTGCATTTCACAGATAATGGCAAATAGAAGTTAATGCTATTGTTCAGAATTTTGCTCTTAGTGAGGCAAAGCCAGGTTTAAAGTACAGATTTCTGGATTCTTAGGTTTTTCTTTTTGTTGTTACTTTTACCCAGACTTTTCATGCAAGACCCATTTCCTTGGCACAAATGATGAAGGTAGACACAATAGTTGTACCTTTTCCAAAGACTTCCAATAAATAAGAGTAGAGTTTTATTGTCTTGATGTGATCTTAGTATCAGAAGGGTCCTTGGAACCACATGTCATTCAAAGGAAGAATGAACTGGGAATGAAATCTGCTGCCAAGGACACTATTGATGCCTTATTGCTTATAAATTAGCATTTCCAGTACTTTGGAGAGAATCAGCTGTGTCTGTCTGACTTACTCAACAGAGAAAAGATGAAGTTGAGTTGAAGGAGATGAATAGAAAAGATGAGCAGTTGCACAGAAGCTCTGCGGTGATGAAATGTGATAGCGTTAAGTTCTAATTTTGTCAGGGCTTTTCTGAAACCTAAAATTACAGTACAGACAAGGTGACTTTTTAAATTATTTTTCTCAATTTCATCTGTAGCATGTGAATAATGCTTCTGTTACCCAGCTTTCATTTGGTTGTGAAGACAATAACAATAAAGATAAAAACATTTTGAAAGAAAAAGTGTTCATGAATGGTTTTCCAGTGATTTTAGAAGCAATGACTCAGCCTCAATCTTAGTTTCCTAACCTGTAAAATGGAGTAGCAATGCCTAACTTACAGGATTGTCATGAGAATTAACTAAGGTGACATTTTTAAAGTAGCCACTGTAGTCTCTTATGCCTAGTTGGCATAGATGCTCAGCCAGTCTGTGTTTCCTTCATTGGCTTGAAGGGACCAGGTTCTGGTTCTATTATTTCTGTCTTGTAAGGATTCTGTAATGCAAGTCCTTTACACGAGGACTCTTTAAATGCAAGGTTTTCTGAATTGCAATTTCCATCTGAGCTTTTCTGGGTGGAGAGTACAGGAAGATTTGTAGATTTCTTCTCTCTTTTACTTTTCTAATTAAAATCAATCTTTAGACATTGCCATATCCTTGCTTGGCTTCAGAATTTGTTTCATTTAGAAAGGAGATGAGGATTCTGTTTGGAAAGAGGATGTTTTTTCAATTACCACACTAAAGGTTCTTCATACTACTTTAAAGAGCCCTGTGACTTGAGTTCTTGTTTTAATAGTTCTTTGGAGGTAGATTTTGGCAAACAGTAATCTACTTTGCTTAAAGGACTGCATGAGTTCTACATGGCTTTCTTAAAACTGGGCACACTAATCTTACATTGCAAAGTTACTGGAAACTTGGAGATATCAGAGGAATGGCATCTTCACCATGTAAAAAAATTTCAGTTGTTGCCCTTTCTCTCCATAGATAGTCATGATGGGTGTGACAGGATGTTGTAGCTGATATTTCAGGAATGTCAAGTTGTAATTGCATCTAAAATAATGTGAACAAATAGTGTTTATCAATTTAGTTAATCTGGGATTCCTTGAACTGTAAGAGGTACTTCACAGAGCAAAGAAGTCACGATATTGACCTTCAAAGAACTTACTGACAAGAAACTTAAAGAGGACTAGTGTTTACTTTAGTTCTTTCTTTCTTTCTTTCTTTCTTTCTTTCTTTCTTTCTTTCTTTCTTTCTTTCTTTCTTTCTTTCTTTCTTTCTTCCTTCCTTCCTTCCTTCCTTCCTTTTCCTTCCTTCTTCCTTCCTTCCTTCCTTCCTTCCTTCTTTCCTTCCTTCCTTCCTTCCTTCCTTCCTTTCTGTCTTTTTGAGGGTGGGCAAGAGTATTATTTTGTTGTTTTTTGAGGAATAGGGTTATAGAGAATTAGGTTACACAGATCTGTGTGGTATGGGGAATGTTTTGTTTACCTCAATTTTAAGTTTGGCCGAAAGAGCTGAAAGAATGAATCTTGAGAAGGAGGTAGCAGGAGAGACTATTCTGAGCTAGCACGTGTTCTGGGAGAAGGCCGAGATTGCTGAGGCTGAAAAAATGGATGAAAGGAGCTGTAGGGTGATATTGTAAGATGAGCAGAAGGTTGTCCATTGGAGACCTTAATGAGGGGATCTGAGGCCTATTGACTCATTTCAAAGGATGCTAGTCACTGACGGAAGGCATTGGACCCACAGAGAGAATGAGAAGTAAAAGCAGAACTTTGTCGGAGCTGATGTCCAGAAGACGGGAGGTCTGCGGTTCATCTAAAAGAGTTTAACCTGAGTCTGAGACATAGCTGTGAAGACATAGAGAATAGAGACATAACGATATTGGTTAAAGAAATTGTTTGAAATTTTTCTAATGACTAAGTGTCAGGAAGGATATAATGTTAGGGATGTGATAGCACTGAACATTTATCTTTGAATTTGGGGCAGAATGTGTAGGATTTAGGGCAGAAAATGAATGAGGGAAAATCATGCATGTGACAGTGTCATACAGGTAATAGGAAATGGAGAACTATACTAAGGAATGGAGGTTAGTATTGACACGAGACACTGGAGGCGAGAAGTCAGTGATACTACAATTGTAGAGAGCATGTGACCCCAGGCAAGACAGAAAAGAGAAATGTGTGACCCTTTTAAGAGTCACCCTACTGATAAATTTTTATTATAATTTTTGTAAGCCACTATAGGCAAATCCCTTTGGGACAGGGATGGTATTGTTCTGATTTTATTTTCTTTTGTCAGGTGGCTGAAATTAATTAACTAAATTGCAAAATTTAGAAACTCATAGATGAGCATGTTTTGTACCCATCAGCTTGGCTCTGCTGAGTGTCAGGTCAATGAATGGCACTGTTCTATACCTGGAAAAGAGAGTCAGACTCCTTCTGCTGAGAGTTCTGGCTTTTCTTTCTGATAACAGGATGGTGGAAACCTTGAAGCTTAGCAGTCACTGGCCCTGATCCTTTTTGTGCTGCTCCTCCTTCATGGAGGCTCTCTCTCCTCTCTGGGATCCTGGAGGACTTGGGAACCAGTGACCCCTTTGTGGGGTTTGGCAGCCCATCTGAGGGTTTCCCTTCAGAGACTAGGCATATGGGGTCTCTAGGAATGTGAAGACATTTCCGGTCTGGAAGCCAGTCAAGGAGAGCTTTGGGAGGAGGGGCAAGCCCTTCAGGACTTCAAGAAGGGTGCTCTTTAGCAGTTAGATGTAGAATTTTGTGGGACTGAGAACTTTAGAAGTGATCACTTGGTGTGTGGATGGTTTTTAAACAGCCAAAGTTAAAATTTTTCTTCTATTTGTTGATCTCAGTGGAGACAAGTACATTAAATGCTTGCCACCTGTAATAAGTGCTTGTCTCAGGGATGTCTTGTAAAAGATAGTGAATAAATTTTCATTGAAATAAGTTTATTGACTGACTGACTGAAAGAATGAATAAAATTAAGTGCTAAATACTCAAATCCCACAGTAAAAGCCAGATTCTCCCCTTCACAGCTGTTTACTTTTTTCCTCCCCTCCTCCCCCATCGCCTTTAATTCCTTCACAATCTATAGGCCCTCCTTATCTCACAGAATTTCTCTAAACTTAGAACCAGGATTTCTTCCTAGCTCACGTTTATTGTAGGCAGTTGATGCCCAGAGAAAGCTTAGCTTTTTGAAACAGACTCTTTCTCCTTTCTTGAGTACTTTTCTTTCCTTAGTGGAACTTTATTTATTCTGACTAAAGTAAAACTCTGAAGTTATTGAATCAACATTAATCAATGATGTAGTATATATTTTATATAGACATGAGGCAGAACAGCCTTTGTTTACATTTGGCAGAAATTCTGCCTTCCCAGCTTTGAGAAAGTCAAGAAAATATCCCTTGCCTTTTGTTTTCGGAAAAGTCAAGCTTTATTGATCAGTCAACTACAACAGTAACAAATATACCATCCCCCATCCCCCCTTAACTTTAAGTTTGTGAACTTAAAGAAAGAAAAGCAAAGAGCAAAGCTAAGCAAGGTGACCTTTTCTATGTTAGAGAGCTAAAAGAAAGGTTATGTATCATTTTTTTTCCTCAAACACCTGAGTCTTTGTCCTATAAGCAAAACCTCAAACCTGTACTTTGAAATTAACATTGAAAGGTAGAATTCACATTAGGAGAAGGCTTGAGCACCATTTAGGGAAGGACCCAGGACAGAACAAAATGCAGGACATGGTCCTCATGTTTGCTGTTTTATTCAGTAAAATGTGATGTTCTTCTCTGTGCTTAATTTTGTCTGTCTAAGAAAATGGGTAAACAACACTACCTAACAATACGTAATTTTTCTAAGAGTCGCATTATTTATGAAAGAGTGGTATTTATAAATACCTCCCCAGTTATAAAAAGAGTGGGATTTAGTGAGAGAGGTGTTCTCATTGGGGGAAATGGGAGAGATAGCTAGATGTAAATAAAGGCAAAAAATGTCTTTTTGAAAATATGAGAGTAAATTGAACTTTAAAGAGTGGTTCTATAAGGACCTGGGTAGTGAGTTTGTGGCTAATTCAGCTCATTCAGGGCAGTGCTGGCTCCTCCTGAGATGCCTCCCACCCTAAACTGGAGGTCTTGGGCATATGCCCTCCTCCTCCATGGCCTCTACTCCCTCCTTCAATAACTCTCCTAGAATTGCAGGCGTGGCTGTCTCCCTCTCCTAAGCTCTGAGGCAGAGTCCCCATCCTTTACTCCTTTGCACCTTCAGCAGCAAACATAATGTCTGGTACTTAGTAGGCCCTTGGTCATTTGAATTAATGAACCGAGTTTACAGACACATAAACAGCTAACCAGGCAAAATGAGATAAACGCTAACTAGAAACACCCAGGGTGTTACCAGGGTCAGAGGACAAAAATAAATTTACAGGGAATCACAAAACACCCCAGAGGGGCAGCAATAGAAGGTTCAGAGGGTTTCCAGGTAAAGGGAAACATGAGCAAAAGTACAAAAACATCAGAATACATGGGACAACTGGGAAACAGAAATAGTCTGATGGAGATGCAGCAGATCTGAATCTACATAGAGAGTTAGGGGAAGGTTACACATCACCTTGAATGGCATGCTAAGGAATAGTTAGGATGGCCTAGTGGTGCTGGATATGGACTTGAGCTAGCTGTCCTGCCACCCCAAACTAGCTACTGACCTGAGGCAGATCCGTTAGCCCATGTATCTCTATTTCCTTACCTATGAAATGACGGTAGGATAATTCAGGTATTGGTGTGAAAAGATAGGTAGAAAAGAAAAAAGAGCAAGGCTGTGAGAACAGTAGGAAGACTTTTGATCACCCAGGGCCTAACATTGTGCTTGCCCATGACAGGCATTCAATAAGTAGATGAATGAATGAATGATCTAGATGAGTGCCCAGGGCAGCAATCTAGGGCAGTGGTGGTGGGAGTATACAAGTTAAGTTTGCTACTTGCTCTCAGCTCCAAAAGAGGTTTGGATGAGGTTTGCTATGGAAAACATTGCTCTTGGAACCACATAAGAATATCCAGTAATATAAATGCCCAGATTGAGTTTTTTCCAGGTTAATTATTTCACAAGAGATGTTGTGATTTAGTCTTTTAGACAGTTATTTTTTTAAACCCATGTTTTTTACCTATGTATATTTCAACTATTAATCTAAATTCATAAAAGATTATGATAATAATATAGCTTACAAAATTCTATTGTAACTTGAAGAGAAAGTTTTAAAGATATTATGTATAAAAACAATTTGGAGAAATCCTAAGAAGGGAGAAAACCCTTTGTACTTTATGATGCTTTGCTTGCATTCTGGGTTTTTTACTGTTGTTTGTTTTATTAAGAATATTTCCTTTTTTTTTTTTTTTTACAGCTGAATACTTTTCAGGCAGTTTTGGCATCTGATGAATCTGATACCTACGCCCTCTTTCTTTATCCTGCTAATGGTCTTCAGTTCTTTGGAACCCGCCCCAAAGAATCCTACAATGTCCAGCTAGAGCTTCCTGCCCGGGTAGGCTTCTGCCGAGGGGAGGCCGATGACCTGAGGAGAGAGGGACCGTATTTCAGCTTGACTAGCACTGAGCAGTCTGTGAAAAATCTCTACCAGTAAGTACCATAGAGCTTAGGCCCTTTCCTGTTGGAATGTAAGAACCCTTAGGAGCTACCCAAACTTGAGTGGCCATAAGACCATTAAATCATACCTTGGTGGTTTTTAAGCAAGGCATAAAGTCAAAACCAGGACTAGACTTGACCCTGAGAGCAGCAAGTTCACCAAAATATAAAAGGTCCTTTATTTTTCTTGATCTATTGGCTATAGATACCTGAAACAGAACTCCACTTCCTCTCTCTCTCTCCCTCTCCCTCCCCCCTCCCTCCCACTCTCTGTAGAGTCACCGAGGCTTGCTATGGAAAACATTGCTCTTGGAACCACATAAGAATATCCAGTAATATAAATGCCCAGATTGAGTTTTTTCCAGGTTAATTATTTCACAAGAGATGTTGTGATTTAGTCTTTTAGACAGATACATGTTAAAAGTTAAATCAAGAGTAATGCGATTTGGGAAACAGATTGGTAGATTTTTAGAAGTCTCAGGATTTCTCTCTGGCTACATCATCTGAAATCACACTGCTTGGTTTTTCACGAGGTGCCAGGGCTGGTCACATTGCTCAGTCCCATCTGCTAGTGCAATAATAGGCCCTTTCACTTTTTGTTGGTCCACAGCATGCTACTATGTGGGTCAGCACCTATTGATATTTATTAATTTAAGGACTTTAAAAATATCTTTGCTGTTATTTCTTTCTGAATTTCTGAATACTGATCTAGAAGCCAGACAGAACACATTGGCTACTTAGCCTGCCTTCACTGCCAGTCAGTTTCATTGCATTATTTCATTACATAACACCTCGCACATTTGCATGCCATCTGCTCTGCTCAGCTACCAGAGAGCGGGCCCTACAACCAAATATGGTTACTCAGAGCTGACATTTATTGAGAGCTTACAATTTGCCAGACATCCTGCACAATGCTTTCCAGAAGCTGTCTTAATTAAAACTCATAAGAATCCTAGGAGGTAAATTCTACACTTTTCTCAATTTGACAAATGAGCTTAGGGAAGTTAAGTTGCCTATAATCTCAGTTAAGTGGCAAAACCAATATTTGAGTCTGGAATTCCGAACTACTGATTTTATGCTGAACCCTGGTCTTCTTTCTCATTCTTATGACTCACATTGGGCATCTTTAGGTCTCCACCTAAGCTGTCTTTTATTCTGGACTCTGAAGAAAACTTAGCTCCTTGCTTTCTTTCCCCAGTTGTACCTGCCTCTTCTACTCTGAAGTCCACAGAGTCTCTGCTCCTCATAAATTATGGAGAACTCACAGGGAGCCAAGCACTTGAAAGACAAAGCTGTCTAAGATGTAGGCCCTGCACACTAGCCACTTGCATTCTAGTAGAGCAGACAGACAAATAGATCAATAATTCCAGAGCATTAGAGTAAGTGCTAACATCTACAGGGGGCGCAGGAGGTGGTGGGGCTCAAAAAAGCAGTTGTGCTCTCCCACCACACCCATAAAGGCCCTTAAGCACACACATACACACACACACAAGCATGCATGTGCATACGCACACACACACACACACAGAAACACACGCACACATACACTTTCATTTACCTCCCTCCATGCCTTCTCTCATTTTTATCTTTGATGCTTCCCAGAAACCACTGAGTTGCTTAACAAGAGCAGAATAGTTATGGGGCCAAAATTACTAGCAGAGGGATATTTCTTTAAATGTAACCCATGCTTAGTATAAAAAATAAAATAAAGTACCAACAATGCAGAATAATGTGAAATAAAAGTAAAAATTACTCAGTATCACTACTTCAAGTGATAACCAATGTTAATAGTCCTTCCAGAATTTTAGGTATATGTAAAAAATTTTAAAACCAAAATGGTTCTTTTGCTATGCATGTGGCATTTTCCCACTTATCAGTGTCTTATAGGCCTCGTTCAGTACAATATCTGTTTAAGGCCATAAAACATGGCATCATATTTTACTATATTATTAAGACAGTAACTTCTTGAACATTTAACTTGTTTCTGGTTTTTATAAATACTGTTGTAGTAAACACCATGAAACATATTGCTCAGATTCTCTTTTCTCTTAAAAATAAAATAGTTGAGAAGTTGAACATTTTGACATATATTAACAAATTGCCCTTCAGAAACATTGCACCAACTCACATCCTCACCAATAATATATAGCTGTGCTTGATGGTGTCTGCTATCAATAAACTCCTATTATTTCGAATATTTATGTATCTGATAGGTATAACATGTTTGTATTGTCACTCTAATTTATTTGATTACTAGTAAAACTGAATACCTTTTCATATGTTTAATAGCCATTTATCTTTTTTTGTGTGTCTGTCCATGTCCTTTGCTATTTTCTATTAGGGTGTTTACAAAGAACTCTTATAAATAAGAAAAAATATAGTAAAGATATTAATATTTTAATCTAGTTGTTCATCTTTAAAGTTGCTTATGATCTAGAAGTCGTGAGTTGAGGGTTGTCAAAGTTATTGGTATTTTCCTTTATGATTTCAGGTCTTGGTTTTACTCTTATAAAGGCCTTCTCTACTTCCAGATTATAGAAATGTTCTTCAATTCAATCTTCTGTTTTACTTTTCATTATTTAAATTTTCAAAAATATACAGAAATGTTGAGAGAATAGCTAAATGAATACTCAAATGCTCATCATCTATATTTATAAGTTGTTGATATTTTGCCATATTCATCATTTTGTTGCTTAAGTATTTTAAAGTAAGTCACACACATCATACCATTCACTCCTAAATACTTCAGTGTACATCTCTAAAGAATAAAATTAATTTCCTAGTCAGTAGAATTTTTGTCTTTCTCAAACTTGTTTCATCATTATAAGTTCAAAGGTCATAAATTATATAATTCATAGTATGTTTCATAACTCTTCTGAAAACTTAAATATGAATGCACACATTTGCATTTTTGAGATTATACTTTTCTATCTCCTGAAAGATAGTAGTTACTAAGTAGTTATGTGCAGTGCCCTGCGCTAGACATTCGATGTAATTTTCCAACTTAATCTTCCTGATGATCCAGGGAGGAAGACACTGTCATCCATTTTGTAGTCTTGTTTTCCTTTCTAGGAAATAAATTAAGTTCTTTTTATCACTAAGCTTTCCAAATGACCTTGGATTTTAGAATAAACTCAAATTGGTTGCTTTCCCTTCAGACACAATGACAAAGCCAGGATAAGGATTTACATTTAATTAGAAGGTTATTTTATTTATCTTTTATCTGCTATAATTTATATTTTCCTACTCTTTGAAGCTTTTATAGTTTTCTATTTCTAACATCAAGAAGAAATTTCACAGCTGCAACACCTCTGATGCGATAATAAACTCAGTATCCTCAAATCTTTAGGATTCTTTCTTATCTGCTTTCGTGTTCCTTATTTCCTTGCCAAGAAACGCCAACACTAATTCTCAGAATTTACCAAGTATACATAGCATATTGCACAAAGGATCACAGTTTTGCTTTCTATATTCCTGTTACCCGAAGTTAATTATAACAGCAGCGGCAGCAACCACAACCACAACACACACACACACACACACACACACACACGGAGAGTTTGAGGGGGGTGGGGAGACATTCTCGGAATTATATTGAAATATTGAAATGTATTATTACTATAGAAAGCCATATGAATACGATTTGGTAGAAGTATCTACCCGAATAAGTGAAGGTCTCTTGTCCTTATATGATTCAGTGAATATCTTACCTATTTCTGACTTATTAGTCATGACTCATATTCCTCAGCGACCGACTTTTGAGGAAATCCCATAGCATGAGCATCTTTGAGCCTGGTATTTTGCTACATAGACCAGAGGAATACACAAACTGGTGTACTCAAACTGGCCAGACCCTTGTTTGTTCCAGTTTTTCTCATTTTTAGAAATCTTATATATAGTTGTTCTTTTCAGAATGTATCGTTGGCTCTAAAATAATTTGAGAGACTGAATAAAGTCTGTGTTCTTTTCTAGTGCAGAAAACAAGTGAGCTCTTGGGTTCCAGATATTTCTGAACACCTCTCACCTATAACCTGTGGCGTTTTGATGAAACTACTTTCTTATTTTCCCCTTTAACTTTGTTCTGTATTTGCTCAACACTTTCTAGACTGGCACACTTATATTTCTTTAATTTTTTAATATTGACTCTCCATTCACTGTGAATTAGTTAATTGATTAATCCATGTGACTAAACTGTGAAATGTCTTTTAACATTCTGTAGAGTTATGATAATTCAGATGCTGATCAATTATAGTGTATTGGTTTTCTGACATAATATATAAAATAATTATTATTTCATAATAATTTAAATCCCAAGTATGGAGCATGAGCTTTGGTGTCAGTGCTGGATTTAAGTCCAAGTTCTGTCAAGTATTAGTTGTGGGACTTTAAGAAGATTAGTTAGCCTCTCGAAACCTATTTTCTCACTTAAAATGGGGGCATGGTCACTGCCCCTACCTTGCAGATTGTATTTAAGAACATTAAGCACTTGACACATAACTAACTCTCAAAAGCATGTAGTAGTCATTATCATTTAAATGTTCAGCAAAAGTTTTTAAGCATACATTTTCTTGATTGTGTTGAGTAGAGGAAGGATAAAATAGTCCCGCATTCCCTATTTGTTTTCAAACAGCTATATTTTAGATAAACCATGTGGATTGTAGAGCAGATTGTAACTTGATGGTCTAGCATTCTGTGACATACAGCCTGTGAAACTGAATGTTAAGTAAGAGGTAGTTTACATCAAAATTCTGGTATAATCCTTTTAGTTACCATGGAAGCCTCATTTTATTTGGTTTTCTACACCAGTTAATCTGATCTTAATAGCCTTTCAGTTTTAAAATAAATTGCTTACCTTTGTAGGAAGGTCAGTGAATGGACATTTTTGTTACAATGCAGTGTTCCTTTTTATTCAGACACAGCAACCTGGGGATTCCTGGAGTGTGGGCTTTTCACATTGGCAGCTCCACCCCATTGGACAATGTCAGGCCAGCAACAGTCAGAGGAGACCTTTCCACAGCCCGTGCTTCAGCTCCCCTGCACTCCTTCAGCCCTGCTGCAGCGCTGGAAAGCCATGACACTGAGGACAATTTGGATTATTACGATGACAATGAGGAGGAAGTTGAATACCCACCAAGTGAACCAGAGGAGGTGTTGAATGGCCACGGGCGTATCAGTGTTTCCTCCCACTCAAAAGCTGACTCAAGGCCTTTAGGAGTTGGCTTCTCTCCTTCAGATTCCAACCTGGCCTCCCCTTTGCCACATCTAACACGTAGCAATAGGCCATTCTACTCTGAAACAGAATCTGCCACCTTGGACCCTCAAACCAAAGAGGGGAGGCCTGTGGGGGAGACAGATACCCCAGATGTAAGAGGCCAAGTGGAGTCTTTTGAACAGCCAGGGGCCAGAGGCCTGGCTCTATCAAAGACAGAGAGAGATTCACTGGATCTGTCCCAGAAAACCCCACCTCCCCACCCAGAAAATAGAAGCATCCGGCCCTACCCAAATGGAGGGACACTGCCTTCAGAAAGGGATGTTCCTCCAGCCCATTCCGAAGGAGAGGTGGTTCTGCACAATTACCCTGCGCCAGGTCACACTCCGCCACTGGGTCATGGGAGACACGTGGTCGGGGTGGAAGACGATATCCGTTCCAACACCGAGGGTAAGTGGGTTGGAAAACAGTGTGCTAAGATTCCATTTAAAAAATGCTGGTTTTACATAGAGCCATGATTTTTCTCTCAAGTGAGTACGTGGAAAGTTTAGCAAAAAGAAGATTGGAACTGATTTTTTAAATGTGTTTCAGGAGATAGAGTATCTTTCCTTTGCCAAATACATCTTGGCAGGCAAATTCTGTTTGGAATCCCTTGACCATTAATAATGTTTTTAAAAAATGGGCCTCATGAAGCAAATGTGGAAGAACTGGGTTGCTCGTGCCAGCTACGCTCTCAAGTGTAATGAAGTATTTCAGTTTGAAAGTTCAGCAAAGGTAAAATGTTCTGAGGCTTCATACACATTACAGTCATGGAGGACGGATGGTGTTAGTTTTAAGTGGCTAGTCGTGCTGGCTCAGATGAACATTCTAGATTCTTACTCTGTTATGGGGCAACCCTTGTGCTCCCCTTGGTTAAAGCTACTTGGTGGTGTGTGGGAGAAGAGACCCATGGGGAAAGAAAATTGCTAGCCACCTGTGTCATGTCATTTCTGGTTCATGGCTGTGCAGCTGTGGTTTTCACCTCCCAGGAGCCTTGTCCTCATTTCATGACTCACTGACCAGGGTGAGGAGCCAGGAGAGAAATGCTGAGAGGAGGCGGTGGTTAATTAATACAGACACAGAGCCCATGTCGCCTTCTCTTCCTAGCTGAGACTTGTCATGTCAGCTCTTTCTTCCTGGTCAGAGATGTCAACACATGAATGGGAAACTGTCCACAGATTCATTCCATTAGTTCCAGAGACTGCTCATCTGGCCTCTAATAGGAGGAAAGAGGTCAGAGGTGAAGGCATTCTTCAGGACCTCCTTTTTTTTCACCTTTTCTGTTTCCCATCCCTTTTGTGGTAAAATCACGTTGACCTAGCAAAGAGGGCCTTTCGGGTTCTTTTATTCTGGTATCAACATTGCTTGAAGAAGTGCTTATTTCAGAAGGGAAGACGCTATTGTGTGACTAAAGTGGTACTGTGTAATGATTGCACTGAAAGCGCTGGTATTCGATTTAGGTTTAAATCCTGGCCGCCACGCTCCTTGCTGGGTGACATGAGGCAGCTTATGTAACCCCAAGCCTCTAATTTCTCCTAAATTTGTTGAGAGGGTTAAATGAGATAATGATGTTTTTAGACTAGTGTCTGCACTAGTTGGTTCTTAATAAATTGCGACTGCTATTACTAATTATAGGAAATGTATAGCAGTGGGAATGGGGTGGAGGATGGGTAGAAAATAAAGAACGGGCTCGTTAAGTAGTTGTGCCTTAATTCTTGCTTAAGGGCCACGCTTCTGTCAAGCTGAAGATGTGAATTTTATTGGAAGGCTTTGGAACCTTCGGACCCTTCTGACAGTCTCCTGACTTTTCAGTATAAGTTCTGTATATCTGAAGAAAATTTAAAGCCAAGTGTCAAAGATTTTTAGCAAAGGAATTTCAAGGTGAAGATATATTCCTAAATGGTGTTTTCATTTTTTTTTTATTTTCTGCCTTGGGAAGAGGTTGGAATATTAAAAGCCAGACCCCTGGAGTGATTTATTAAAGAGTGAAGAGGAAGGGGCTGCTCCCCCTACTTTGAGCTGTGAGAGGTCGGGGTAGCTGGAGGAGGTTTAGGGAACTGGCTGTAGAGAACAGAGCGGGTAGCCATAGCGCTCCTGGGTTATGAACTGTGATATTTATCAGCTGCTGAATGGCGTCTGCTACTGACATCTTGGAAATGGCAGCATGCGTATGAAAAAGCTGGTTAATACACTGAGACATTTAGAAAAAAAAAAATCTAACTAGAAGTTTTTGAACCTTGGAGAAAAAAAAAATCAGTAACCACCATGTGAGACAGCAGAGAGGGAAAACTTTAAAACTTGAAAGCAGAGAGGGAAAATAGGTGAGCCTCTATTTTCAACTCAGGCTTCATGAAGACTGTGTGAAATATAGAACCATACAGTAGTTAGATACTTTTTTTCCGGTCAGTGAAAAATTTTTTTTTTTTTTTTCCAAATGAATGTTGGCACTTTAGAGGTCTGTTAGGCCGATGTGGACTCCCCCAGGGAAAGCTGGTGGGTAGGATGGCAGAGACACAGAACATTGCCTACTAACTGCTCAGCCTTGACCCGTTAGGCCTGGCCTTTCCTACTGCTGGAGTAGGGGAGTGTGGATCTTGGTGTTAGGTGGATTGAGCTTGATTTCCAGCTCTGCTATGTGGTTTGGTGTAACACAATATGCTCTGGTTGGCCATCATTTTCCTTGGCTCCAAAATAGAGGAAATGTAGACCCTCATTAAGTACCAGTGAGCATTAAAATTAGTCACAGGAAGCATCTTGTCCAATGAATTTTAGTTTCTCCTTTAAGCTTCATAATAGTCATCTTTCTAAAACAATAAATTAAGATTTAAAGGCTCCCAAAATATTTCTCCCTTCTTTTAAAAAATTTTTTCCCTTGGGGACTCTTTTTATAGACTTTTCTTTTTGTTAAGAAATCTAGATTCTTTTCCAATTATGTCTATACCAAGAAAGAATGTCCCAATCACACTCTAGTTCTGGCTTCAATTCTATTATTTGCTTTGTTCTGTTTTCATAGACCTCAGAACCAGCAATAAAACGGGTGTGCAAGCATCCTCTGTCTGAGGTGTCCTGTCTCTCCAGGGAGCTCCAGGAGCTTGTTGTCTAATCAAAAAGTTACCTGAATACCCACCATTTGCCATATCTGACCAAAGCATTAGTGGGAGTTTTCACTGGCATTTATCGCGTGCCCACGGGGACTCTAACAGGGAGCTTTGCTACTGATTGCGCTATCATGGTTAGTCCTCAGAATTGCCCTGTGAGGTAGATACTATTATTCTTCCCATTTTATAGAGGAGGAAACCGAAGCCTGGAAATGCTAAGCGACTTGTCTGAGTAAGAGGCAGACCAAGACAGGAAGGAAACAAGCTGTCAGGTAACAGAGCGAAGGCAAATCGCCTGTACCAAGTCAGGGAAGTCATTGTGGAGGACGAGGGGCTTGAGTCGGGCCTTGAGGTCAGAGTCTGAGTTTAGAGAGGGAGAAAGTGGGGAACAATTCTGGACAAAGAGGCAACAAAAATGGAGGCACAAAGGTAGAAATGGAGAAGGAGACCATGTGGTGAGTTGAGGGGGTAGATATGGGAGATGAGCTGCCAGGGAGGGCAACAGCCCACCAGGACGGGGACTACTTGTTGACTTACAGGTGTCTTAGAAATTCTTAAACCCACTGGGGTGGTGCTGTGAGGAACTCAATCTGACCTTAGTTTGCAGGAAGAGTTAGAAAGGGGGAGGGCTACCGGGCTTTTGGGAACCTGAGGCACTCATGCTCCATTGTGGGAACCCTTTTGTTCCCCATTAAATGGCAGTCATACTGGGAGCCACCAGTTGTGAGCGGGATTTCCCTGTGGCTTCTAGTCTGACTCTACTTTTGGCCTTCAGAAAGGCTGCAGGAATGTGCTGCTCATGCAGCTGTACCCTGGAGTGAATTGCAACTCTGCTGCTCAATCCAGCCTTCCAGGCAGGAAAGCCGCTCTCTGGGTGCACCTCCAGGTTGCTGTGGGTCTGTGAACAGGAGAGCCCTGCGTACCTGTAGCACAGGAGAGCCTGCGGGTGTAATGACAGTGGATATAGACCCCGCCCCCCAACCAGAGTCCTAATAACTGTTTGCCCAACCAGCATCACTACGTAGCACACACATACATCAAAAATAAACAAACAAGAAAACTGGAGGAAAAAGCTTACCACTGTTTTTCATCATGAAGTTGGATGTGATTTTTCTTACTAGCCTGTCATTCTGGGAGGTGGGGAAACTTAGAAAAATCTGTCCTGCAGTGGAAATGTGGGTTCTTTTTCTTGAGGTAGCAGTAGAAGTTGAGAGTAAAAGCCACTCCAGCCGCTGGGGCAGCCCCATGAAGAAAGCCCTCCATGCCCCTTATGTTCGCACAGTGAACTCGGTCCATGCCAGGGGCCCTGCCCACCTACCATGTGGCTGGGCCAGAGCTGAGTGAAGGAAGGCAGGCCCAGGGCTGAAGACAAGTGCTTAAGTGTTTCTGGAAAAATGAAGGACTAAAGGATGGATCGGAAGCAAGTGCAGAAGGGATGTTTTCCATTTTTGTGAAAACTCCCGATTAGGACAAGTGTGAAGGACTTTGGCAGTGCCTTTGCTTTTTTTTCTCTTATGTATTCCCACTCGATTTTTCTTTCTAGTAAAGATATAAGAAGAGTAAAAAGCATTACATGGAAATGAAATAAATAAGAATTTAAAATCCCCATGATAAGATTCCTTGAGCAACTATGTAACCTCAGTTAACAAAGCTGCTGCAAACTGAGCTCATTCAAACCCGGCCTGCCTCTGCCCTCCCGCTGCATCCTGACATGCCTGCAGACTTGTCCCTGTAATTCTGACTCTCTACGACAGGAGCTCCCTGGCAGAGAGCGGGTCCCCAGAGGGTCTGGAAGACAGCCTGCTCCTTTGGGTAAATTCAGGAGAAAGGAAGCCATGGAATAAAACTATTTCTCAGAGTGTGGGCTCAGTCCACTTGCATCTAATTTACTTGGGGCCCTTGTTTACAATGGTGATTTCCACACCCAGCCTCCATCTCCTGAACCAGAATCTGTACTTTTAAACCAGGGCCCCCTGGTGATTCTGAAGCCCACCACACTTGAATTCTGCTAGTGTAATGGAAAGAGTCGAGGATTTAGAGCCAGAAGATCATATAATCTCTGTGGACCTCAGTTTTCTTATCTGTAAAATGGAGATAATATCTTCTTACAGAATGGGAAGAAGTGTGTGACAATACTTCCAAAACTGTGATATAAAGAGGCATGTAAATGACCACTGAAAAAGAGAAAAATGCCACATTGTTTTTGGAGATGCTCACTACGCACCTTATCCAGCTGGGATCCAGACACTGATTCTGTACCTTCAAGTAGTTCGGCATCTTTCAGTCTACCTGCAATTCTCATGGCCAGAACACTAGCTTTTCTTACTCTGGGTAGATAGCTGCATGTGGGACCTCATTTCTTGGTCCAGCTCTCCCTTTCATCAGGGAAGGCACCTGGCTTCTGGGCTACCTCCACTGAAGAATCTTCACGTTGCTTGCTTGTGGATCTAGGCCTAAGTGGGCCATAAGCACTGAGATCCGCTTCTCAATTGGCAGGGAATGCATGTGAGAGCATTGTCTGAAATCCCACTGCCCCAGGAGCTGCTAATTGGTCAGATGACATCCATTAACTACATGAATGGACATTCTCTAGTTGAGAAATGGAAAGTTTGCAAGTAAGTTTGAAAATGAGCATTGTCATCAGTGAGATGACAGGCGTGAGAATCACCTAGGGAATGGCTGAGGCTCAGATTCCTGGGATCGACCTATGGAGTCTGAATTGGTAGGTCTAAGCCTGCTCTGGTAATCTGCATTTTTAATAGGTATCCCAGGTGATTCTGATGCAGTGGTTCCCTGAATCCATGAGGAGAAATGCAGGCTCCCTTTGAATGGTTGAATAGCACCCTGTTGAGGATACAAGTCCCTGTTGGAACTGGGTGGAACTTTCCTGCTCCCTAGAAGCTGTTGCTAGAACTGATCTTCCACAAACGTGCTCCTCCACAGTCTCCCTCTTAGTAAGTGGCAGCTCCACCCTTCCAGTTTCCCACACCAACGTGTAACCTTCCCTGTGGACTACTCCCTCTCCTCTCTCTCCTCTCTGCCGCCACTGTCTCTTGATTCTCACTCTCTACCCTTCCCCTCTCTCCTCTTCTCTCTCCCTCTCTTTTTATCTCCCCACCATGCAATCCATCAGCAGACCCTGTCAACTCCACCTTCAAAATATTCCAGGCCTGGTCCCTTCTCACCAGCATGTCCTATTACCAAGGCACAGGCTCATTCCTGAGGTACCAGAAGTCTGATCATGTCACTCTCCTGCTCAAAACCCTCCGGCAGCTTCCCAAGGCCTTCTCTGACCGAGTTTAAAGAAACAAAATCACGTTTCCCCTTCAGCCCTCTTGTCCTTCCCTGATTTAAGTTTCTGCACAGCTCTTGACACTATCCTCCATATTAAATAATTTACCTGTCTATTGACTGCTGCATAGGAGAATGTGAGCTTTAGGACAGGAATTTTTGCATGTGTTTCCTGCTATAGACCTAATTCCTAGACCAGTGCCAGGCTCATAGTGAGTGCTCAATAAATATTTGTTGAATTATTTAATGAGTGAAAGAAAATTGCAACAGGCATTTACTATTCACCTAACAAGCCGGCACTAAGTGTTAAGTGTGCACATCTATGAGGGAAAGCAGGCATGGAAAAGGAGCTCTAAAACAGCCTTATGTTCCCCCTGTTTAGGAGTGGACCCATCTTCTTGCCGTACTGTGGCTGTCCTGGGGCTGGAAGGCTGAGCTTGTATTCTTGGCTCAGTAAATTCCATCCTGAGAATGCAATATTCCACACAACACACACATACTCTCTCTCTCTCTCTCAAAAAGATGCCCAGGCCAGCTTACCAATAACTAATTTAATTCATCATAATTATAGTTTCAGTGTCATAGCCTTTCATGGGAGCCTAATCATTATTTTTTTGTTAGAAAAATGCAGTCTGCATGCCAATCAGCTTAGACTTTTCCACAGTCGCATTTGTAAGTTGCTGGCTGCGTTGCTGTGCCTCTCTTTTTATGCATATAAAAGCCATGCCTAGACCTAGTGTTTCGGTTAAATTAACCTAATTCTCCATATCTGTAGACCACCTCCATCCATCTCTCCCTGCTTCATAAACCACTTTTAGAATGGGAATTGGGCCGGAGAACAAGTCTTCATGAAATAACAAATAGAGGGAATATAGTACAGACCCATGATTTTCTTAATTTGGGGCAGAACAGTGTTAAAGTTTGGTTTTATGTTTACCTAAATTTCCCGAAAACGACTACCCCTTAAACTTGCTTCAGATTGCTTTTTTACCTTGGTGCCCAGAAGTATGTTAAGAAATAACGTGATTTCTGACAATGAAGTGTGAGAAGCAGGTGTCATTCTGATTTTAAGGATGAGGAAACTGAGACAAAGGACATTTCCGCGGTTTCCACAGAGCCACCTTAACTGTGGTTGCATTCGAGTCCTAGAGCCTGGGACCCTCTGTCACTCTGTTCCCTTGTGTTCTGGAGGGAGAGTTTTGTTGGCAGCCAGGCCGTGAGCACACTCATGAGTATGCAATCCTTCCAGGTGCTACTTCATTAAGTTGTGACTTTGAGCTGGAAAAACCTGAGAATTTGACGCATGAAAGTTATATTCATTTCTTTTTACTCAAACTGGCGTTTTCCCCTTTCTTAAACCAAGGATAGACAGAGATATATAGCTTTCTACACAGCAGCCTCTTGTAATACATTTTAATATTCTGGTTTTCTCTGCCTTGAGTTTTGTGTCACTTTTCTGTTTTGTTTGTTTGTTTGTTTGTTTTCCCCAAATGTTGAGGGTTATGCCTCACTTTCTATTTTCATTAAACTAGAATTTCTCATCAAGACCCTGTACCAAAGCTTGAGTCACCGACTTCATTCTCACTATGTTCCCGGTCAGATATTCCACTTGAGTCAAGATCATCTGTCCTGCTAACCCATCAGCTTGCTTCTTTCTCTAGAACTTGTAAGCAGCTGTCAAGTTATGTCCAAAAGTTAATGCTACTGCTGCTACTCTCACTTCTTACCTGTGCTTTTTTCCAGCGTGCTGGAAATCTGGATAATCTCTGCTATATTTACCATTAAGCCTGATGTATAAAAAAATGACTCAAAGCTTTCTTACTGAAATCTCTGCTGATTAACCCCAGACACCTGAGCAGATTCTTAACCTAGGTCTCATGATGTATGTACTTGGGTTCCACTGGAGGGGTAATAGAGTGCGGCTGTGAAGAATCTGGAGCCAGACTTCCTGGGTTCAAATCCCAAGTCTGTCACCTACTGCCTGTGTGACTTAATCTGTGCCTTAGCTTGTTTATCTGCAAAACAAGGATAAAAACAATCCCTTGCTCTTATGGAAATTAAAAAAGGTAAAGTTCATAGAATAGTATCTAGCATATATTAAGCTCTATTTCAGTGTTAACTTTATTATTTTTTTTCCTCACGGATACAAGTCTTTATGAAGGCTATATTGTTGCATATATGGTGCTGTCTTTCCCCACTGGTTTCTTTATTTCTATTCTCTCCTGGAATACTGGGTAAATATTGATCTTTCGAGATCACCCTTCCCCTCTCATTTCCTCCTTTTCAGACCTAAATCTGAAACACAACTATCACCTAGTTTTCCCCAAGAGTAGGGTATCTGTTTGCCTCTGGAGCTGGCTCCTCATAGCAGCCTCAGAGTCTTAAGTTCTGTGCCATCCCGGCTTGTCAACGAGCTCCCGAAGTCTCTACCCAACTCCAGCTCCTGGGCGTGCTGAGGCAGAGGTGTGCACAGCCCGTTTGCCTCCTCCTGGTGGCCATGTTTGGGATTGGCACCAGTCCCATTGCGGGGGAGAAAGCCCTCTCTTGTCCATCCCTGCCCACCCCCAGCCACATCTTCCCCACCTTGGTTGGCCATTTATTTTATGGATGATGGCATCTGCTCTAATTTTTTTTGTTTCTTGGTAGCACAAATGGTCCTCTCTGCTACTGGAGCATTGTGTTTATACTTAAGGGTTGTGTGTGTGTGTGTTCTTTAAGGCCTATTGTCTCAGAAAAAAAAAAATTTTTCTAGGTAATAAGAAAAGCTATAGGCTATTCTCTTTTAAGTTCAGGGTCACTGAAAAGAATAATGGTTAGACATAAAATGACATTTGTTTCTCTTTTGTCTTCCTCTCAGGGGTCATTACTATCAGGTTGAACCATTTAAAATTGCTGATCTTTGACCATTTTTGACCCACAAAATGACAGTTTAGTACAGTTCAGCCTAGCACATTCTAACTGGTTAGCTTTCATGGGACATAGCTCTTCCTAGTTCACTAACTTCCCAATGAGACCAGATGGGAGCAGTCAGCAATTCTTCTTGCCAGAAGACAAAGCAAGTTAACTCCCCTGGGTTGAATGTTATTTCTGTCTCTTAAACATCAAAACCCATTTGTTTATTATAATCTAAACTGATTTTACGGAGCAGTGTCCATGATGAAGCTGGCAGCAACGACGATGCCGGAATCACTTAGTCCTTTTAATGCAAGTTTGTTTTACTTTCCAGTCTTTATGTATAATGCTTCCAACAAGGAGACCTGTGAGCACAATCACAGACAGTGCTCCCGGCACGCCTTCTGCACTGACTACGCCACCGGCTTTTGCTGCCACTGCCAGTCCAGGTTTTATGGAAATGGGAAGCATTGTCTGCCTGCAGGTGAGGAGTGCTGGCTTGATTGGGGATGAGGGCTGCTCCATGTGTATTTCTGCTGCTTGCTTGTTTCTAGCTGCCACTGTGAGCTCTGCTTATGAACCTTGCCTCTCCACTGTTTGAATCAAAGAGCTAGCAACTTGCAGGTGCTCAATAAATGTTCGCGGAATGAACACATTTGGGCTGATTTCCCATTTTGAGGATTAACCAAAAATGTTTCCTCTTTTCGCCAGCTCATTAGAGTCAAAGTAGATGGGAGAGAGAGGATGGGAGAAAAGAGATCGAAGGCAGGTATACTTAGATGGATAATTGGTTGGTTAGGGAACGGTGAAAATGGCTGAAGGTTGCATTTTGGGAGTTGTCAGTGGAATGATTTTATCTATGAGCCCATCCTCAGCCTCGACAATGGTCAAGGTTGACTGAATTTGCTGTTTTTCAGGGGCACCTCATCGAATCAATGGGAAAGTAAGTGGCCACCTCCATGTGGGTCACACGCCCGTGCACTTCACTGATGTGGATTTGCATGCTTACATCGTGAGCAATGATGGCAGAGCCTACACGGCCATCAGCCACATCCCACAGCCCGCGGCCCAGGCCCTTCTCCCCCTCACACCTATTGGAGGCCTGTTTGGCTGGCTCTTTGCTTTAGAGAAACCAGGCTGGGAGAACGGCTTCAGCCTCACAGGTGAGTAGGGCTTCTAAGAGGACTGATAGTCACCATTGCTTAGGTGGGTTTTTATTCAATGAAAGGATTTGCTTCTTCAGTGTTCCAGAGCCACAGATGTGTGGTTTTATGTTTGGAGGTTGTTGGGGATGGTTTGGCCTCATAGGACTACTTTAAACGACAGTGATTTCTTCTAAATGTTCTCCAAGGTGTCCTGAAAAATAAGATGATTACATTTGGGGCACTTGTCTTCTCTCCCCAATTTGTTGAAGCTTGTGTGTGAGTTGAGCTGTTATGCACAAATCTGTCAAATAGGGATGCACAAATGGTAATAATAGAGCAGCTGGAGATGTTTTTACTTCATGTGGAAGGGGATGCCTTCCCTCTTCTTCTACCTTCATGACTCCGATCTATAATAGTATAAACCAGTGCTTCTCAGTCTCTAACCTGCACGCAAATCCCCTGGGGCACCTGTGAAAGCGCAGATTCTGATTCAGAAGTCCTGGGGTGGGGTCTGTGGTTCTGATTTCCTAGCAAGCTCCTGGAGGTGCTAATGCTGGTCTAAGGACTACCCTTTGATAGATAAGAGTACAGAGGATACTTTTTGGCTTTTCATCTTTCCACCTGAAAAAGCTTATTTCCTAGTGGATTTATCTTTATTGCACAGAAAGTGCTAAGAAAAAAGTTCTTCCCCCACCTCCAGCTGTAGAGCTCAACAGCTATTTGTAGATCTTGCTCTCAATCAAGGTTCGAATAAAACTTTGAGTCAGAAGTAGATACATACAGTGTACCCAGTTATACTTGAATTTCAGATTAACAATGAACAATTTGAATAATTTAGTGTAAGCATGCCCTAAATATTGTATGGGACATATTTATACTAAAAATACATTCATTATTTATCTGAAATTGAAATGTAACTGGGTGTCCTGGGTTTTTGTTTGTTTGTTTTTGCTAAGTCTGGCAATCCTGGAAAGAAAAAGGTCAAAGATGTTCCCAGGAGTTTATTTCTTACAGAAAACAAGCTCCTACAGAGAGAAGTGGTATGAGATGTGGCAGGATGAAACCATGCTCTTTAATAGAAAATGTGAGGAAATGATGTTAGTACTTAGTACTAATCAACAGCTGTGAGTACTTAGTCTCAGATGTTAGATCATCTCCTTAGGCACCATCGCCAGTAGCAGTAGAAATTGGGAGGTGGACGCATGCACTGGTAATTCTTACTGGGATATGCAAGGCCTCTTTTCGTCCCTGTTCTGATTTTTTTCTCCTGCCAGGTGCTACATTTATCCATGACATGGAAGTTACTTTCTACCCAGGAGAGGAAAGAGTTCGAATCACTCAAACTGCTGAGGGGCTTGACCCAGAGAACTACCTGAGCATTAAGACCAACATTCAAGGCCAGGTGCCTTACATCCCAGCAAGTTTCACAGCCCACATCGCTCCCTACAAGGAGCTTTACCACTATGCAGACTCAGGTATGTAACGTCTTCACATCTGTAAAATGGGAATAATATGTGTCTCTCAGATAGTTTAGAGGATTAAATGAGTTACTACATGGAATATCCTTAGATTAGTGTGTGGCACATAAAATGAGCTCAATATAGTTTTTATTATTTTTGTTATAAAATATATAGTGTGAGTGAGCAGAGTGCCAGCTGCTATAACAAGAATCTCAATATTCCTACCCAATGCTTTTAAATAATAATAATAATAATAATAATAATATGATGTAATCAATATCAACCTTGTCTTTGGGGAGGGGTAGGGATCCTATAATTGTACACAGTTTTTAACTCTCCTCTCTGGGCCATGTCAAATATTGATTATTAGAATCTATACTTGTCCTATAACCTTATTTTATCCTGTTTTAAAATCACAGAAATAGATATTACAAAGTGTGAAACTAATGCTAGATTTAGAGTCAGAAGACAAATTCATATCTTGGATTTGCCATTTAAAATCTGTCAGAAAAAAAATCACTCATCTGAAAGCCTGTTGTCTCATCTTTAGAATGAGAATAACAACACCTTCTCTGTCTGCCTTCCATGGTTGGCATGTGTAAAGTGATGTGTTCTGTAAAACACCACCTGCATGCAGGATACTGGCTCAAACACAGGTGCTGTCCTGCAGAACAGCGGTTTGCTTTGAGTTGTGCCTTTCCTTGGCCCTTGCTTCCTCTACAGTGTGAGAGCTGGAAGCCAGGCAAGGATGTAGGAAGCGAATGAGCAGCAGAGACCTGGACCACGTACAGAATAGCCAATGGCCAGATAACTGGCCTGCACTCCAGACTCCCCGGAAACTTTCAGACTTACTCAAGTGCATGATGTTAGATGTCATCACCCCTGTGTGCTCTAGAGGATAGGCTTGTTAAAAGCTTGGGATGTAGAGTCAGGCCAACTTGAGTTCTAGTTCTAGCTCTACCATGTACCATCCCTGCATCTTAGATGACTTCTCCACTTCTGTAAGGCTCTGCACACACAAATGCAGAGCCCACCTTACAGGCTGTGAGGAATAAGGTGGTGCATATAGAACACTCAGTGTGGCTGGTGCATAGTAGCATTTACTCTTTGCATATGATAACAAGCAGTGATTGGCCCTCCTCTCTCTCAGCCTGTTAACTTGGCATCGACTCAGGTTTTTGGCTTGCAGGATTTTCGTGTAAACCCAGGAGCTTCCCAAGGGAACATGTTCCAGGAATTAGATGAAAAACTAACTATGCAGAAAAACCCACTGCACATTAAAATCTCTGTATTTAATACTTTTTCAATTTACCAGTTACTGTATGTGTGTCTTGCAGCTGTGACCTCCACAAGCTTTAGAGACTACTCTCTCACATTTGGTGCCATCAACCAAACATTGTCCTACCGCATCCACCAGAACATCACTTACCAGGAGTGCACGCATGTCCCCAAACACCTGGGCATTCCTACCACCCAGCAGCTGGATGTGGACCGTGTCTTTGCCTTGTATAGTGATGAAGAAAGAGTGCTTAGATTTGCTGTGACCAATCAAATCGGCCCTGTTGAAGGTAAAAATTTCTGTTGTTGTTCTTGGGCAAAAATTACATCTAACCTTCTTTCTTCTTTCCTTTTTGAGTAGCCTCAGAATGATTCACAGAAGTTACTAAAGGTTACTGAGTGCCAGGCTCTGTGTTATATGCTGGATATAAGAATAAATAAAGTCAGGTCCTGTCCTTGAGATGGAGACAGAGGCAGAAATGGAACTTTTAGAACAGAATACTCGCCAAATTTATGAATAAAGCATAGTACATGAGGCTAATTTGTAGCAATAATCATGTGCGCCCATCTGTATTAGTGTATGAAAATATACCATTGGTATACAACTGTGAACAAGGTGGGGCAAATTACTAGGGAGAATGATGCTGACAAGTATTTGTTATAATTGTGATAAGCAGGTACTGTGAGCCTAGTCTGGAGGTTCAGGAAGGGTATCCCCAAAGAAATGACATTTTAGCTAAACGTAAAGGATAAGAAGGATTTCATCAAATCATGGTAGGACAAAAAGCCAGTGCCTAAAACAAAACAAAATAGAACTGCATGTACGAAAAACCCACAGTTAACATTATACTTAATGAGGAAAGACTAGATGCTTTCCCTCTGAGATCAGGAAAAAGGCAAGGATGTCATGCTTGCTCTTCTATTCAACACCATGTCATAAGTTCTAGCCAGGGCAAGAAAACGAAATAAAAGGCATTGGAAAGGACGAAGTAAAGTTATCTATCTATATTTTCATATGACAGGTTCTTATATGTAGAAAATTTAAAGAATTTATTAAAAAATGATTAAAATAATTTCAGCAAGGTTGCAAGATACAAGATCAATATGAAAAATTAATCGTATTTTTACATAGTAACAATGAACAAACTGAAAAGGAAATTAAGAAAATAATTCTATTTCAAAAAATATTTAGGAATTTTAAAAAATAAGTGCAATACTTTTGCATTGAAACCTTTACATTTTTGAAAAAAAAACTTAAAAAGAAATAAATGGGAAAACATTCCATGTTCATGAATCAAAAAACTTAATATTGTAAAAATTGCAGAGCTTCCTAAATTCATCTATAGATTCAACACAATCCTGTCAGCTGGGCTTTTTGCAGAAGCTTGACAAGTTGATCCTAAAATTCACGTGGAAATTTTAGGAACCCAGATGAGCCAATCTTGAAAAAGAATAAAGTTGGAAAACTCATAATTCTTGATTTCAAAACTTAGAATAATCAAGATACTGTGGTCCTGGCATAGAGATAGACATACAGATAAGTGAGAATCCAGAAATAAACACTCACGTTCACTGTCAATTGATTTTTGACAAGGGAACCAAAACAATTTGATGAGAAAGACTAATCTTTTTGAAAAAATGTTTCTGGGACAACTGGTTATCCACATTTAAAAGAATGAAGTTGGACCTCTATCTCACAGCACATACAAAAATTTACTCAAAATGGGTCAGAGATCTTAATGTAAGAGCTAAAATTTTAGAAAAAAAAAACATAGGGAATTTTTGTGACCTTGAGTTTGGCAATGGCTTCTTAGATAACGATACTAAAAGCACAAGCAACAAAGGAAAACAGATAAATTGAATGTCAACAAAATTTAAAACTTTGGTGCTTTAGAGGACACGATCAAAAAAGAGAAATGTTTGCAAATATATACTTAGTAAGGGACTTATATGTAGACTATATGAAGAACTCTTACAGTTCAATAATAAAAAGATAAATAAGCAAAGTAAAAGGCAAACATTTTTGGATAGATAGTTCTCTGAAGAAGATATGCAAATGTCCAGTGAGTACAAACACACACCAAAAGGTGCTCAACATCATTAGTCATCAGGAAAATGTAAAATCAAATCCACAGTGGATTTACATGGATATAGATGGATATAATTTCAAAACAGATAATTGTTAGAAAGGACGTGGAGACACTGAAACCCCCATACATTGCTGGTGTGAATGTAAAATGTGGAAAACAGTCAAGCAGTTTCTCAAAAAGTTAAACACAAAATTACGATTCGATTGATCAGTTGGACTTCTGGCTGTATACTCAAGAGAAATGAAAATTATGTCCCCACAAAAACTTGTACATGACTAGCAGCATTATTCATAATAACCTGAAGGTGGAAACAACTAAAGTGTTCATCAGTTGATGGATGGATTTCTAAAATGTCATATATCCATACAGTGGACTATTATTAAACATAAAGTGATGTACTGATACATATTACAATATGAATGAACTTTGAAAACATACTGAGTGAAGGTAAAGAGAAGACATATTGTATGATTCCATTTATATGAAATGACCAAAATAGGCAAATCCACAGAGAGAGAGAGTAGATTATTGGTTGCCTAGGACTTGGAGAATAGAGAGGATAGGGAATTGATAACTAAAGGGTACAAGGATTTTTTTTTTTTGAGGTGGGGGGGAATTAAAATATTCTAAAATTGATTGTGGTGATAGTTGCACACTCTGTGGATATACTAAAAGCCATTTAATTGTGTATTTTTGTTTTGTTTTTTTTTAATTTCCATTTGCATGAATGTGTACTTTAGTTGAGCGAGTTGTATGGTATGTGAGTTATATCTCAATTAAAAATAGCAGTAGAGGGAAAAAACAAAACTCTAAACCAATGGTTCTCATACTTCAGTCAGCATTAGCCTCACCTGTGTAGCTTGATAAAAATGCAGTTATAATGCTCGATAGGCCCATGAAGGCATCAGAGGATGTGAGGAAACTTGAGTGCATATTACTAAGTGAATTCAGTCTGAAAAGGCTACATACTATGTGATTCTAAGTAGATGACCTTCTAGAAAAGGTAAAACTATAGAGACAGTAAAAAGATCAGTGTTTGACAGATGTATAGGGGAAGGAGAAGAGGGATGAATAGGTGGAGCACAGGGCGGGGTGTTTGGGGCAGTGAAACTATTCTGTATGATGCTATAATGGTGGCTACATGTCATTATGTTTGTCAAAACCTGTAGAACTGTACAACACAGATTAAGCCCTAATGTAAACTGTGGACTTTAGTTAATAATAATATATCAATATTGGTTTATCAGTTATAGCAAATATAACACACTAATATAAGATGTTAATAAGAGAAAACTGCAAGTGGGAGGGGGCGGCTATGGAAATTGTACTTTCTGCTCAATTTTTTGTAAACTTAAAACTTCTCAAAAAGTCTATTAATTAAAAAAAACAAAAAATGTTAGGCAAGCCAGAGGATGAGCCTGTGAAGTCAGGGAACTCTACAGATAGGAAATGATTGTCAGATCAAGAGGACATTTTCATTATGAAAACCTATAGGGAGTGTTTTCCTTTAGAACGCAGTAGGCACAGGAGGAGAGAGAGAGACTGTCTCCCTTATTCAGCTCCATATTGAGACTGCTGAGCCCTGAATCGGTGCCTCAGAGAGGTGATTCCGTAACTTATGGGCGATTCTATGATTTATCACTGGAGAGGATGGCTCCTTAAGCCTCTTCGGGCTCAATATGCAAGTGTCACTTCAGCAATACGATAACAGGAGATTAAGGTAAGAGAACTAGACTCTTCTAGGATGCAGAAGTGACTTGAAATGAGAATCAAAGTTTGCTTTTTTCAGTGAGTGTTTGGTTTAGTTTTAGGAAACTTGGTTTGGGGCATAGGCATTGAGTGAGTGTCCAAAGATGGGATTGTAAGGCAGTGAATTAATAGCATGGAGGTATCAGTTGATTTTAGGAAAAGATTGTTGTTGCCTATTTCTCAAGGAGATATTTAAAGAAAAACAACTGGGAAAAACATTCTTCATCTTCAAATGTCTAGTTCAGCCCTTTACTGGGTGTAGGCGCCTGATCTGTAAAAAGAGCAATTAGTGGAAGAGCCTCCCAAGCCACAGAGTCTCATTCTGATTCTGGAATCATTTAGGGACAAGACAGATCTCTGGGTGTGTTTTCCCTAGAGACATACTAAATGAGAGTAATAAACTGGCAGGTATCAAGTTATTAATTTGCCTTTAGAATTTTATATGACTTTCCTTTCTAGCCCAAGTCTGATACTAACAGTAATAATAATAGCAAAGAATGGTATAGCCAAGCACAGTTTTAAGCATCTTTATAAATTAACTCGTTTAATCCCCACAGCAGCCTCTCCCCAATGTTGGGTTTATTACGCCATTTGACAGAGACCAAGGCATAGACTTGAAGCAATTTTCTTGCTCACAGCTAGAAAGCAGTGAGCTGGGACTCAAACCTGGGCACCGGCTCCAGGGCCCACTCTTAACTCCTCCTGGCACTGGTCGTCTACGTAAAACACTGCTGGCCTCGGGGCTGCCTCATAATTTAGACCAAATTTTAAAAGGAGTGTGTCTTTTTTTAAAAACTATATCTGCACTGTGTGTTGTCCATTCCTATAGAAAACAGCAGTACTGTTCATTCTCTCTGAGCAGGAGAAAAGAAAAAGAAAACCTCTTTTTCTTTCTCCCCCTCTCAGTGCATAGCAGTAACTTAAGAATCTCTCACTTTTTCCAGAGGGAGCGATTATCTGGTTGGAATGCCTGTGAAACAGCACAGCTGCCCCACCTGATGTGGGAGCTCCTGCTTTCCCAGGAATCAGGAGTGCTGATGTTTCTTCCTACTGAGCAGTCTGAGCGTTGGCCCTGCCCACTACCCAGCCACCCTCCCCAGGCCTCAGTGTGGGTTGGCTGTCTTTTACAGGGTCCTAGAACAGGACTC